CAGGGCCTTCCGGTCGGGGACGGATCGTTGCCCTGGCCTGTCATTATGTATCTGGGCCGGCCTGGGAGGTGCGCGTTGTCGCAACGCCATCTGCTAGGCTGAGTTTTTTGCAGGAAAACGGGTCCATTGGGGATCCCGGGTTTATGAACCCGACAAGTGTTATGCTCTATTATTTTCTAATGTCTAGAAATATTCAAAGTTATTATTGTTGGTCATCATGCAAAAACTAAAACTTCTTTTTATTTTTACATTGTAATTTATTATGCTGACTTACCTGACCCCTTTAATGTTCTGTTACATTTCTTCTGGTGCAGTCATGCATGTGGCCACTGATTTGTGCAAGCAAAGGAAATGTAATTATTTCTAGGCCATCTCTTTATCCTTCTTCTATAGTCAGCATATTAAAATGCTGACAATTTTCATAGATAGAGCCCTGGCCATTAATTGATTGGTGTTATTTGTCACCTCTTTCATCATGCAAAAAGTTAAACTTCTTTTTTCTACATTCTAATTTATTATTATGCTGACTTAGCTGACCCTTTAATGTTCTGTAACATATCTTCTGGCGCAGTCATGCATGTGGCCACTGATTTGTGGAAGCAAAGGAAAGGTAAGTATTTCTAGGCCATCGTCTCGTGATTTTATTGACATAGAGTTTGCCTCTTTCAGTGACATAATAATTTGCTTCATACAAAAGTACTTTGTCCATACCAGAAAAAAACAGAAAATAGACACATAGAGCCAAAATTAACACATGATGCTTAATGATTTATTGAGGCCCTTTCATAGTTTGATGTCATCCCAAAAATATCTAATGTATCCACTTGCTATGTGTGTGCTACGTTACACTGTTGCCCTATACACTTCAAATGACTACTGTGATACATGTGGCTGATGGCAGCGTGGCTGGAAGACAAGGGCGAGGAAGAACGCGGTCGTGGCCACCTAGCAGCCGGCTGGGTGAGGCTGCGGCAAGCCAGCGACCGGCTGGAATGGCAGAGTGAGGCGCTTCGCGGCTCTGGCGAGGCTGAGTGGGGGGCGCCCGCGGCGGTTGGTGGCCTCCCATCCCGTGGTGGCGGCGGCTGTCCCCAGGTGGAACATGTGTATGTATGAATGTGGCCGTAGTGTTAGCACGAGCAATAAACATGTGTATGTTTGACTTACTAGGCTTTGTTATGCATGAGTGTTTTTCGGATTATATATATGGTCATTAAATTGCGTGAAACTTAAACTATGAAGAAAAATATCATCGTTTCGTTGTTTTTATGTGCATCCCTGAAAAAGAAGCCGTTGCGTTAGTACGGGCACTATACTAGCTTTCAAAAAAAAACCAAATAATAAGATTCAATGGCTATTGGCAATAATGATAATATAGTATACCAAATTTGGATAGGAAACATTATCGTGGTATATACTACTCCGTACACACTAAGCAATATGCATGGTACTCAATTTTTGTGTGTGGTTATGATCTACAAGCAGATTACATATTTGGACAACAAGCCAGAAACTTCCATCCATTTGGAAATTGCACAATGACGAACTTGTTTGATGCTGATGCCTAGTAATATCGATGGGCCAATGTGTGACGCTAGCGGCCCGTATGCTTGATCATTGATCCACATTCCACAGGCTGTGATCGGTTCCCGCCTACCTGGTTGCGCCTCAAACAGATAACGTCTATTCGGTTTTGCGGCCCAGTGGGCTCCTCGTTTCTCTTGTCAAGGATGACTTAATGTGGCCAGTGGCCCTCCACAGTATGCTCATTTGTTGTCATAAACATTTGTGCTCTTTTGTATAAATTTACTCAAATGTAAAAAAATGACTTAAGACAACTATAAGAATTGATTTATTCAGGAACAGAGAGAGTATCATAGAATAGAGAGAGTATTTAATTTGGTGGCATTGATCTACATATAATTCATATGTGTTTGATTACTCCCTCCATCCAAAAAAAATGCAATTATGGGAATAGTGTCAGTCAAACAATCTCAATTTTAACCAAATTTATAGTGAATAGTATTAGCATTTATGTCTCTAAATAAATTTGTTATGAAAATACATTCCGTGATTAATCTAATGATGCTTATTTTATATTATAAATGTTAGTGTTTTTTCATATAACTTTGGTCAAAGTTCAAATCGTTTGATTTCTCAAAACGCGAGAATTGCATTCTTTTTAGGACTGAGGTAGTAGTACGTTAATTTATATGATTTGTCTTTTTCTCTAAAGTATATCATATGAGGATTAAGGTGGAGTTCCGTTGGGGGGCATCAATCAGGTGAGTAATATCAAGTTTATGTATTAAGTTGAACATAAGCTTAAATTATATCACCTCTTGTTGCATCCTTTTAGTCACACTATTAAACTATTTTCGGGCTTCAAATTTTTATTTTATTACTAGTTGTTGCAACTTTTCATCCATGCTTCAAGTAAAACTGAATTTCTTGTTGTATCATCTATTTGATTTTTTTCTTTGTATTTTATTACAAAATAGGTTCTATATCTAAACTACACTCCTAGTTAGAGCATAAATTGCCGTTTAAGCCTGCACCACCACCATGACAATCAAGATACAATTGTATTTGTTATACCAAAGGTTTACATGTGCAGTATGTTTTTTTTTAAAAAAAAGAATATACAGTGCTTAAAATTAAAGCACCAATATGGCCCACTTAAATGAATGGCATGGCAAGGCCGTGCTCATCTTTATATAATATATATACTCCTTTTGCATAAAAAATATAATATACTCCTAAGCATGTATTCTTGCTCCGTCCTATAAAATATAAGAGACTGAAGTTTGCTCTAATAAATCAAATTATTATAAATTTAACTTTGAGAGTAAATAGAGAAAGGCATCAATACTTACTACCACATTAATAAAGATAAATTACATTTCCTAATAATTATACTTGTTTAATATCTAAGTGTTATTGTTTGTTCTCTATAAATTCGGTCAAAATTTATAATATTAACTGTGATCCTTTACAAATATGTCAGGACGGAGAGAGTCTATTTCCTTGTAATGCAGGTACCATGCATATTCTAGGTCGGGTACAAACCAGTCGCGACTCCTCCCGAAGTAGGACGGGTATGGATCATCTGGACGATAGTAATGCAGCGACGACGATGCGTCGGCTGTACCGGGGCACGGCGGCACCGGCAGCGGCACCAGGCTCGCCCTGTAGAGACACCGGCTGACGTTGCCGATTTCGCCGTAGTAGACCCTGCTCACCTTCCTCTTCTCCTTGACGTCGTACAGCAGCAAGTAACCGGAGCCGACCACCAGGAGCAGGCCTCCCTCCACGACAGCCACGGCCTGGTCGATGGGCTGGAACTCGGACTCGCGCAACCGCTGCCAAGGCAGGTCGATCCGGAGGCGGCGAGCCCAGGCGGCGACGCTGCTGCTGGGGTCGCCTGCTGTTTCAAAGGCCCAGACGTCCATGTGGAGCGACCCTTCCGCTACCGCCGACACGGCGAGCGTCCCTTCCATGTCGAACACCCGGAGGTAGTGGCGGCGCGTGAGCGGAGGCCGCGGGATCAGCCGGAACTTCTCGGACACCGTGTCGAACGCGACCAGGTCGACGCTGGTGCCGGACTCAGGGTGGTGCGACCAGTACAGGACGCCGGCAAGGGCGACGCACGCCGACGGAGCCACGCCCAAGCCGCGGGCAGGGCCGAGCCGCCGCACGGCGGCGGAGCCGGTCGAGAGGATGTAGTAGTGGAACGGCCCTGTTACGGATACGGTGGCGGCGTCCGAGGACGATGGCGGATGATTGTCGTGCTGGAGCTGGAGGCGGCCGATGCACAGCAGCCGGTGCTCGCCGGTCGGCTCGTGGAAGTAGAGCCCGGATGGCACGGCCGACGCGCACGGGTCGGGCGTGAGCGACGGCAGGACGGCCGACTGCCGCGTCTCCGGGTTGCAGATGAGGAAGGTGGCGTTGTCGCTTGCCGCCAGCAGGAGGAGGCCGTCGCGAGAGTCGGCGAGGCGCAGCGACCTGCCGTCGTCGAGGCGCAGGAAGCGGCGGCACCCCGAGTAGTCGCTGTTGAGAGGGTCGAGGCCTGCGAGTATGTTCTTGGCGTTGCGGTCAAGATGGTAGCCGTCGGGGTACACGAGGAGCTCCAGCCGCTGGTGGCGGGAGTAGGCAGCTACGAAGGTGCGGCAGGTGGCGATGCGCCGCCAGCGCTTGCTTACGGCGTGGCAGCGGAGGACGGACTTGGGCGGCAGGCGTAGGAGGATCTCGGCTAGCACGTCGTCGACCAAAGAATCCATCACCGGTCACCGCCTATCGTACGATCAGGCCTCCGATCCTACTGTTTCTTTCGCAGGGAACGCACAAAGGAAAAACCCCGTCCGCTCGCCTCGGCACCCTGTATATATGTATATGCATGTATGTATCCGTTTTGTAGACGTACACGGGACAACTACCTGAGTTGGATTAGATAGCATGTTCAGGTGTATAGTACTCCTGCTACGAATCACTGAACACGATTCGGGCTCCCAACCTCATGATAGCAGGCTTTTTTAGAAGAAGAAAAAAACACTTCATGATAACACAACTTATAAATGTTATAGACATTCGCCCTGTTCGTTTGGCTTATAAGCCGTACTTTTTCAACCAACGAATAGTATTTTTCTCTAACAACAAATCAGTCAACGGTACTTTCAGCCATGGCTTATCAGCCAAGCAATCAGGGCAATTACTCGAAGCAGATTTCAATACTGTACCACAGATCCACAAGTCAAAGATGATTTATGTAGAGCAGAGCACTATAACAAAGAACCGTACCTATTGGAAACCTATTGAGCACTATAACAGGTCCATCCGAGCATTTGTTTTGTGTGTAGAGCAGAGCACTTCTAAGTTCTAACAAAGAAAAACCTACTGACAACCGATCCGTGTAGAGCAGAGCCCTATAACAAACAAACCTATTAGAAAACTAATGACACGCTCGATCCATTTCTCGCGCATTTGTTCACGTCAGTCAATGCAACCTAATTACCCACACCATGGTACATCTCCACTTTATCGTAGACCGGTCTTCCTCCCGAGGTAGCTAAGGCAAAATGGTTGACACGGTGTTGGCTCCAGCGAACGGCCAAGCATTTGCCAGGTGCTTTTACCTCATGTACAACCTGCTCAAAACAAAAAGGAGAAACAACACACTTGAGTCATATAAGGTAAAGGAACCAACAGATAAAAACGATTTCTCCACTAATATTCCTACCTCGCCCTTCTTCACATTCAGTAAAAGAAGCTTCTCTTCAGTGCATGCTAGCACAATTTCTTTCTCAAATGGACACCATGATATCGCCACAATGGAATTGGTATCACTGAACTGGTGCAATGGCTTGTCCACTTTCCGAACATCCCAGACCTGTTTAAATCCAGATACTGTTCATTGTTGAATCAAAAGGAAGGTTATGTGGTGGGCTTACAAAAAATTGCTTATCAAGTTCGTGCGTGGCTGGATTATTTCAAGACAAGCCGCAGTGGCAACTTTTAGAGGACTTTTGTTTGCTATTTTTTTTTTGAGAGAAACTGGAGGGGTTTACACCCCTACAGTCCAAAAATTTATTAAAATAAAAAAAGTACAAAACAGTACAAGGCAAGCAAACAACTTTTAGAGGACTTTTGTTTGCTATTTGGTTTCTTACTCTTTTTTTCAACAAAGGGAACCCAGCTTTTAAGTAGCATATTTGTTACATCCAAACAAGCTAGGTATATCAGGTTACCACAGCAGCACAGAGCTGAACATTAATTTACCTTACAGTAGTTTCCAGAAGCTACGATCATCGTATCTTTGTCAGTTGGGCACCATTCTACAGCTGAACAAGTTTCCATCGAAGAAAATTTCCTAAGAAAGAGCAAATTCGTTTCATTAGTAACAACCAAGTAGGTATTTCCCTAATAGGGAACAAATTCGTTAGTACAACTATGCATTTGAAGCATAAGAAGAAAATTTACCCAATCACAGATGATTTGGCACTTATATCCAAAATTTTAACACCAACATTTGATGCTGAGGTGATAACATTGGGTTTAAGAGCATTCCATGACAGATCCAAGATCTGCACTTTATCATCTTCATTATACTGCAAAAAAATCAAAATACTAGATGGTCAACCTTAATATTCTTTTTAAGAAAACCAAGTAATCAAAATCTGGGCGACATCCTATCCAAACCAGAACTGGAAACACATATTCTTGGTTGAAAATATCTTCTGACATTATTGCAAAAGTATGTCAATAAACACATATCCAGCAGCTTACAAAACAATAAAATTTTATAAATACAACCATACCTACTATATTTCATATAAGTTGTGATATTATTCAAATCTCTTCTTATAAATAACTAAATAGTAAGTCAAAACACCAAATTTTATGCATATCCATCCATTTAGACAGTTTTATTCATTAAGAAACCATTGTCTTATTTTAGTACCTGAAAATGGGGAATTCTTTCTGCAGAAGGGTTGATAAGATCCCATATGAGTACTGTCCCTTTTGCTCCACCAGAAGCAAGAAAGTGTGGTGTTGTAGGGCTGAACGACAAACCAAGTACCTATACAGATTGATTATGTAGTCAGAAACCAGATAAGAATTTTCAGCTAACAAATGAAATATAGCTAAGAAAAGATAAAGTCAGTACAGCAATTATAGTTAATCTTCAATAACTTGCCAGTGTATAAACATCAATAATAAGAACAGCAATAGCTATCAACACCATGGGTTTTTTTAGGCATCGAAGCGAGCCACCACGAAGGGGCTGAATATGTTAGAATTTTAGTAGCAGGGAAACACACACATGAACAGTGACAAAATTCAATAACACAGCTACGACTCCAATAAAATCAATCCATGTGCTTTGTGTTCTATAAACAAAAATCCTGCCGTGAGCAAAGCGTACACACCAATCCATGAACCAATGAGCAGAGCAGAGCACAGAGTATGATAACTGATTAGTAGTGGTAGTATGGCACATACCACACAAGCACAAGCTGTAGACAGTATTGTGATACAAAGTAATTTATATAACAGTATGAACTACTTTATATAGCACAACCAGCAGAGCAAACACAACAGAGAGCACAGCTGCACAAGCATAGCAACCTGACGCCTTGCAGCAACTAGGCAACACCAGATCGGATATAGTGAACTCCATACACACACGCGCGCATGTCAAGACGACACCGACGCCCAGCACCCTTAGCACACCTTGTCGCATAGGTGACTACTCATAAACCATGATTAACACAGGCCAAACTGTACAGTTAAACTTTGTCATCTCAGCATCCCAATTCACTGTTACTTGATTGCAATATAGGTATAGCTCCCCTCTCTCTACTTCTCTCGTCCTAGCTCCTCTTACTTCTACTTGTGCTCTCAATACTATGGCTATTACGAAAAGTGCTTGGCTCTGCTTGCAAATAAAGTTGGATAGTAACAGGGAGGAAGAACGAAAACTCACTGGACCAGCAGAGTGACATGACATCAGGGCAACCATGGAAGCGGACGATGATGCAGGGAGAGTCAAATCACCACTAGTGGAGTTCAGACTTGGCGGCTGTGGAGGCCCATCTGGAGAGAAGTAATCATCGATTACCCTAAACTGGGAGAACCACCGACCATCTCCCGACTCCGAGCGGCCATCTTCCGATTGCAGCGTCAGGTTGTCATTCCTACAGACGGCACACGGCAGTGATGAAGGTGCACAAGGAGCAGGAGCTTGAGATGTGAGGTGGCGAGACGCACCTGTGGGGATCCGAAACGGCCGTCGCGCGTTCTCGTGGTCGTGGCCACCGGCGACCAAATGGGGGGTGGTGCCATGGACCTGCTGCAGCACATCCTTTGGGCAGAAGTAATCCTCGATTATGCTGGAATCGGAGCCCGAATCCGAGGGTCTGCGGGGACGGAAAATGGGGTGATGAGAGGGAGGAGAAGAGAGCTAGATTTGCGGCGGCGCACGCGTTGTCAGAAAACTCACTCGAGCAGCGCCTCACGGGGGTCCCAGACGGCGACCACGCCGCTCTTCAGGCCACCAGCGATGAGCCCGGTGGGGAGTGCAGATGAACAGCACGACGCCTCTGTGGGCCTGGACCAGGCGACGCGGCAGAACTCGGCCGGCGAGGGGATGCGGGCGACGAGGGGAAGCACGCCGTCGATGTACGCGGCGGCGGTGCGGTAGACGAGGAGGCCCGGGTTGCTGGAACCGGGCGCGTTGATGGAACCCGGCGCGGTGCTGGAACCCGGCGAGGTGCCCGCAGCTAGGAAGGTGACGTCAGACGAGCCGCCGAAGGCGAGGGCCGACGCCGTCACGGACGCCGACGCCAACACCTCCGCCATGCCTGCACCCTTTCGCGGTTCCCCCTTCGGCACCTTCCAGAAAGGACAAACGAGCCGCGAGGGAGGGAGGAGGAGGAGGAGAATTTGTTACGTGGGACGGGACGGGGTCCAGGGTCTGCCGCCAGCCGGGGTCATAGCTGGCGGACCGCACATTTCGAAGGTGATAGCATGGGCCGGGCCGCCGCGATTGTTCCCGTCAGACTGATGGGCCAAATCTTCTTCCAATTCTTCCCATCGAACTGGCCGCTATAATAAGGCCTCGTTTGCTCCTGGGGCGGCTTCTGCTCTGGCTCCGAGTGAAGCCCTGCCAAACGGTGCAAAGAAAAACAGATTCTCAAGAAGAGCAGTTGGGAGCCGGAGCCCTTTTCTACGGGAGTGCCAGAGCTGCACAAACCTGGGCTTCCAGTTCCTCCGGCTCCTCCGTCTCCTTGCCGAGTAACGTTTCTGCCCAACGTCCTCACGCCCGCGACCATGACCGGCAGCCGCGTTCAGCCGCTTCGCCTGGCCGTGTTCCACGCCAGGCACGCTGGAGCTGCTCCACCCGTCCGTGCTGCCGCTCCTCGCCATGCCGGATCCGCTCCGCCCGGCCGCTTCGGCCTCCCAAACGCCGTCCCACACGCGGCAGCAAGCACCCTCCCTTTGGTGCAATCCCTTCTGCGGCCGCGCCGCGCCATTTCTCACGCCGGCGGCTGTCTGCCGCGCGTATGCACAGTACAAAGAGATGCGGAGAACTGGAGATGGCAAAAGAGCACGGAGAGATGTGGAGATGGCAAAAGGGAACCGGTGGATGGATAAGAGAGGAACCGTCAAGGCAAGGATAGATATGTACTGTTGTTTTTTTCCTTCTAATACTGATATTCTTTTGAAGGAAAATAGTTTTCTTTAGTGATAAAATCATAGTTACCTAGCTAATGAACCCATAGTACTAGCTGACATCAAATATTAAAATCAAAGAGAGAGGAGCACTATGGACATTAGATATATTTCATCCATTCAAAAAACAGGAAAAACCATTTTGTCAAACATTTTTCAAAAATGCTTCAGCTCCTTTAGAGAAGTTGCTTCTTCAGAGAAACCGGAGCTAGAACTATTTTTAGAGGAGCCAGAGTCTTACCAAACAGGCCCTAAATCTTCTACACAGATGCGACTTAGGGTGGATGGCAAGCATATTTAAACATAGGCTTAGCCCAATCCGAAAAATTATATCCACTTTTTTTGTTTTTTGGTTGATCTTTTTTTAGTTAAACTTTCCCCTTTTATGTTCCATTTTTATTAATTTCACTTTGTTACTTTTCCCTATGTTCTTCTTTTCTTTTTTTCTTTTTTCTTTTTTTTAAAAGCAACATTGTAGTGGAGAAGTAACAAGAAAATTTTGGCTTTTAATCAAATCAAAACAGCTCCCTTTCTAGTACCTGGCACGTTAAAGCAATTGGAGAACAATAGAGTTTGCAAACCCGACAACAACAGAACCCAATTGCATTTTTTTGAGGATTGGTTAGTCTAATCGGAATTCTGCCAAACGGCCCAAGCCGAGATAGGAATTCCGCCGAGATTGACATGAAACCGAAGTCAAAAGTCAGTATGAACAAGAGACTTTGGTGGTGGCCAATTTATGAGAGAGAAGCTTCCAGAAATTACTGGGACAACATCAACCTCTCCCCCCTCTATAAAAGGAGGTGAATGGGAAGTTGGAGGAGAGACACAACATATGTACATGTATATGCAATGAAATAATAAAGAGCTCTCTTCCCTCTCTCATTCTCTATGTTCTATTGTTCTTGCGCCTATGTCATGATAAACTGATTTCTCAATAGAGATACGTTCTGGGCCATGAACCAGGACGGGAGAGCGGCGACTGCAAAATTGGGGGAGTCTTGCCACATATTCCCATCACTATGGCAGAAGCCCATCTAAATCGGGCCAATAAATTAGCCCTTGGACAAGCCTTGCCTATCGAAAACCAAGGTTTAAGGTCTCTTTGGATCCCGTGGTCTAGGACCCCATTTGGATCTATGATCTAAAGTTTTGAGGCTCCAATAGAAGATCTAAGGTGTTGTTTAAAATTTAGTCAACCATATAAAATTTTAGATTACACAAGTAAGATAAAGTGATCTAAAGTTTTAGTTCTTACCTTTAGCCACCTAAATTTTAGACTATAAGATCTAAACATGGCCTAAACTTTAGCCACTAGACATGAGGCGGTGGGTATAGGGCCTGCTTGGTGTTGGCTGCCAAGATCTAAACGGTGTTGGCTGCCAAATCTTTGGCAACCAAAAGAATTTGGCAAGCCAAATGTGAGAAGTTGGCAAGTTTTGTTGCCAACCAAATACTAGCCTAAATCATGGCTTGCCAAACCCTTGGCTTGGTAAATTTTAGAAGTGAATAAGCAGACCCATAAAATTACTGTCTAAAGTTTAGCCCATCTAAAAATTTATTAATTTATTTATTAGACCATACAAATAAAATTTATTAGACTATACAAATAAAGTAAAGTGATCTAAAATTTAGCTTTTAAATTAACTATAAACTTTACTCCGTACGCATTATGATCAAACACGGTCTTATATAGTTCCACTTTTCAAGGGCCGATTTTCACGGTCGACAAACATGTCCCCACAGAACAATCGAATATATCCATTCAGCTTGTTCGCTTATTGGTTTCAGTCAGGGCTTATCAGGCAGTCAACAGTGTTTTTCTCTCACAACAAATCAGCACTAGCCGAGTTTATCAGTCCAGAAACCAACGAACGGGTCGTTTCTCTCACGAGAAAAACGAACAGATCTCATCTCCAATCATAGCTAACCGCTTCCATCAAATCATTACGGCCTTAGAAAGTTTTTGAATATACTATGGCCCCGTTTAGATTTTAAAAAAAATTTTTGCGCAGTACCCGTCACATCGAATCTTGCGGCACATGCATGGAGTACTAAATGTATACGAAAAAAAAATTAATTGCACAGTTGGGTGAGAAATCGCGAGACGAAACTTTTGAACCTAATTAGTCCATAATTAGATACTAATTGCTAAATACAAATTAAAGTACAACAGTAGCCAAAATTCAAAAAAATTTGGATCTAAACGGGGCCTATACTATAAGCATAGGAGGCGGACCAGTACTATTTTCGCATCATAAACAGGCCATAAAGTTTGAAACCTGCATGGTCCTCGTCCCTACCGCGATCCCAGAGCCAAGCCGACCCCGCGAGCCCGACAAGAGCAACGCCCATGCAGCTGCCGCCAAAGCGCCACGCGACGAGGCCGGAACCCCACACTGCGATCCCTCGCTCCCAGTCCCATACGGACGGCTGGGCACGAGGGAGACACCTCAGTAAACAAAACACATGGCGAGCCATCAGAGCAGTACGAAGGCGGCCATGGCCACGACAGTCTCAGATTAAAAATCGCATCATCATATTATCAAAAAAAAGAGCATCATCATCAGGCTCCCCTGGTGTGTGCCCCGCGCGGCCACACGTCACGGAAGGTTACAACGCAACCAGCATACCAGCCGGCGGATCGGCGGCACTGGGATCCAGCGGTAGATTCAGGCTACCAGCAGAGCCGTCAGGCGAGTCACATGCCTGCCTGCCTTCAATCTGTCATGGCCAGAACACTGGGCAATACTGCTAGCAGTGGTACTACTAGGATTTACTGCTCACAATCACTCTTTACACGCGAGTAAAATTGCTTCAGCAGAGAACAAAAAATGGCTACGGCTACGGGCAGTACAAGTTGGGAAGGTTGCAAGCTCGAACTACATGCTAGTAGTAGAGAGAGTAATAAGCTTGTGAAGCAAGCCGCCATGGGTTCCGAAGAACAGATGACACACACACGAGCGCGAGACGAAGAACCGGCTGCTCTCCAGTCTCTCCTGCCGGACCGGAGCAGAGTGCGCACTGGAGTCGCATGGCGCCATGGAGAAGGGAAGCAGCAGCACGCTAGGGGTCGTACAGGCGGCCGTCGCAGCGGCATTTCCACCCCAGCGGCTTGTAGTTGGAGTAGCGCGAGAAGCCGGCCACCGTCACCGTGTCGTCGGTGACGCGGGCCGCGCGGCCGAGCTCGGGCGCGGTCGTCACCTGGACGGGCATGCAGGGGTTGCAGGCGCTGCACCGGTTGTGACAGCTCGGCGGCGTCGACCCCAGCCGCGACTTGTCCTCCGCCAGGTTCTGCACCTCACAAAAACGCAACGCCACTGTCAGTCTCTCTCAGAGACGTATGCGACACAGGAGTCAGGAGGGAAAACGTCGTGACGGTCTCGTACCTGGGAAGGGGAAAACGTCGTGCTGGTGCGGATGCTGGTCGCGGCGCCGAGAAGGAGGCAGAGGGACACGGCCGCGATGAGCGCTCGGCGAGGTGAGCAGCTCACGGCCATGAGACCATGTCTTCTTACAGCCAGCAGGATGGATGGATGTCTGGGCAGATCGATCGAGGACAAAGGGAAGCAGGGAAGCTTCTTGCTGGTGGACCGAGGTTATTATTGAAGAAAGCTAGCTAGCTTCTGTCTCGTGTAGGTTCTTCCATAAACTAAAACCTAGTACTATAAAGCTTTGAGAGAGATGCTGCTGTAAAGTAAAAGCTATGTGGTTCCTCGAGCTACTGAGGTGGCTATGGAGATGAGCATTGACGGTGGCACAGGAGCTCAAGAGAAGCAGGTCACAGTGCCCTATGACGGGGGGAGGTTTGCAAAAGGGAGCAGAGGAACGAGACGATGACATGGGCCATATATATATGTACAAACGTGGGGGACGCCAGGACGCGAGCCACGGCCGGATGGAGACCACGGCAAGGACAGAGGACCGGTGACCACCACCTTGTAAACCTATCGCTGCTTGGTTTGGTTTAACACAGCCTTGGTCGTCCATGCCAGTGGCGTTCTACTGCGCACGCCATCTCTCCATCATCGCCTCTCAAGGATCGAGGAGCGAAATGAAAGGAGAGGATTGGGTTGTTGGATGGCGCCACAACTGTCGCTATCGTTCTGGGGACATGGCCGGGCTAACACTTTGACCGACCGTCGTATCACAACGAATGAATGGAGTCATGGACTAAGAGCATCTCCCAGGTATTCTTTATATCTTTCCTACTTTACAGGAGTAGAGAATTTTTTTGAAAAAGACTCTCCTTTTTAATTGAATATCTAAATATAGACATCATCTATTCCGGATTTCTGGCTAGCCAAAGATGAGGACGAGAATGACTCTTTAGACTATACACAAGATATAAAAAAGCTGTTGGAAAGTACAAAAATATAGAAAACAATCTTTACTCAAATGACTTTCTTAATGATGATTTAGATAGTAGATTTTAGAAGGAGTCCTCGAGATGCTCTAACGAATGGATTAGCTACGCAACGCAACGCAAATGAACCAAATCAACCAATGACGCCTCACGGGCGGGACGCTTGGAATGAAATCGGGGATGTGGTAGCGGTGGTAGGTGATGGCGAAGGAGCAAGCAAAGAGGACCCCGCACCGTACGAAAGCTGATGAGCGCTAATGCTGGCTGCTACCCTACCAGCCAAGCTATCTACACTAGGGCTGAGATCACCTCCAAAATCAATCGGTTCTACAAATGGAAAAAATAATTAATTGCACATTTAGTTGTCACGAGATGAATCTTTTGAGCTGAATCCTCCCAGCAGAGAAGAAGTCAAAATTTTTGCAGCTGTCCAAGCTGAGCAAAGCTCGGTTCTACATGGATGGATGGTCCAATCTCTGAATCCTCCCAGCAGAGACGAAGTCAGCAGCTGTCCAAGCCGTGTTCGGCTGGACAGCTGCTGCCGGCTGGGCTGGCTGCTCTCCCTCACAAGTTACTGTAGCCGACACCTAGGGCGAGCCAGCCGCAACAGCTGAAACCCAGCAACCCATCGTCCTTGAGCAAGCACCAAGCAGCAGCTTCCAGCCGAACAATGCAGGGTTCCGTACGGTTGATAATCCAAGCAACGAAACTCTAAAATAATTCAAGCAACGAGCATCTCTCAGCGGTGGCCACCAGGACACTCTCATAAAGGACCCGAGGTTCACAATCTCCGTTACTCGTGTAAGGCCTTGTTTAGATTGAAAAAAAATTCAAACTGATGAATAGTAGCACTTTCGTCTTATTTGGTAAATATTGTCACGTGGATCAACTCCGTTTCATCTCGTGATTTCCAAAAACTGCATAATTTAGTTATTTTTTTTTTACCTACATTTAATGCTCCATGCACTAAAATTGATGATGGAGAGAGGGTGAAAAACGGAAGGTATCTAAACAAGGTCATCTGAGATAGTAAAGGGAGTCATCGAACCACAGGTGTGTCAATCGATCGGTCAAACATTCGGGGCCTTGTTCCTCGTGTAAGCCAGCCAGTAGCATGGCAGGCTAGCAGCCCGTGGGCGACTGGCGAGCAGTAGATCCCGGTGGCAGTGGTCGATCGAGCGCAGGCCGCAGGGTGAAAAGCCGGCAGGAAATACGGTAAACAAGACGGACTTTGTTCCAGCCATCGATACGTCAAACGTCTCCATCGGTCTTTCATACGTATCTACCCGTACTTCGACGACGCCAGTGTCTTTTCACTTTTCTCAGTGTTCAATGCCAGGCCTCACGCATCGGCAGCGGCAGGTCAAAGAGACCGACCAGCACCGCGTCGCCGTCGCAGCAAACCCAAACCATGCCAATGCCATCAGCCTATTCGGTTGATTGGCTGGTTCGTTTTGTTGCTGATTCGTAAAAAAAAATACTGTTACCTAATTTATATGAGAAAAAATACTATTTCGACTAGAAATTTACACTTATTTACGACGAGCCTAAGCTAAACAAACAGACTGCATGTGGTAGCGGTACTATCCCGTGCCTATCCCCCCGGTAGGCCGGTACGCCGAGCGCACCGCGCGGCGCGGCCATAACGACGATCGACGGGCCTCTCGGTCTCGGATGGTACGAACATGGAACGCCATTACTGCGGCTCCTGACATGATGATGCTCACTGTTTATTGTTCATTGAATTAGACCGGTTCCGGCGGGGCAGCGGATTCAATTCGCCGTGGCGGAGGAATCTGTCCGTGCCTATGCGGCTATGCCTGCGTCTGGCGATCGGCGACCGTGATCTCCAAAGACCGAGAGCTTTTTCCTGCTCCATGGCCCATGGGCAGAGACGAGAGAGCGAAGCACGCCGGGACGGGAGGCGGGAGCAAGGACAGCTGGGGGGAAGGGGATACCGTAGGCAAGCAAAGCGTTGCTGATTGCGAGATGGCAGTAGAATGGATGGGACGCTTCGACTGGAGCTGAGCCCTTGTTTTAGTTGGAGTCCAAAATCCCAAAAAGTGCTACAGTACCTGTTACATCTAATGTTTGCGGCTTATGTATGAAGCATTAAATATAGACGAAAAAAAAACTAATTGCACAGTTTGGTGGGAAATTGCGAGACGAACGCTTTGAGTCTACTTAGTTCATGTTTGAACAATAATTGCTAAATAAAAACGAAGATGCTACGATAGCCCCAAATTCCAAATTCATGGAACTAAAAAAAAAGGGCCGAGACGCGGGCACGCGGCGCCTCCCGGTCCGGATTCCCACAGACGACGCGGCTGTGGAAAGCTGCGCTGCGCTCGGATACTGCAGAATCTTCAGCTTTCTTTCGACAGGTCTATCGACCTTGAGACTTTACTACAAGATCATCCTGCTACTCCTACTCTCGGCGCTACTCAGATGCTTCCATAGCACCTGATAGCATTAGCAACAATGCAAGATCAACTGGATTAGGAATTTTCTTCCTGGATCCGAATCATCACATGAAATGCTATATAAAAGCAAAAGTTGCGCATATCAGTTCTGTCCACATGGCAGAATCTGCTGGCATGGCGCTTGCTGCTGAGATAAGCTCATTGCTTGGCATCAGTGACATATCTTTTCTCACTGATAGCCAACTTCTGGCAAGCTTCTTCAATGGATCTGATTTTGACTCGCCTCTACAGTGGGATATCAAGCCTTACACCCAGACGTTTCTGAATGCAACTGCCAACTACAATTGGAAAGTCCTCAAAGTCCAAAGAGACCTCAATGTAACTGCTCATGTATTAGCTAATCAGGCCTTTAGGAGCTCGTCGACCAATTGTATCATTGGAAACTTCTCTTGTAGCCAGCTGCCCTCTTCGTGAGGCACTGCAGTTTGTAAATTGGGAGTCCTATTTGTTAAAACCATAGGATCGATCTAGGGTAGAACCGAGGGACTTCTAGGTAACCAGTTGATCCTAAACAAGCCCTAGTACATCTGGACAGAGAGATGGAGACATAGAGATAGATAGATAGGGGTTCGAACCTGAGACCGCAGGGGTGGAAGATCCAGTGGCCTCCATCAGGTTCGTCGATGCAGTCTGCGCACGAGCAGCGATGGTCGGGGAAGAAGTCGATGTAGTTGCCGTCGTCGAAGCGGGGCGGCGCGGTGAGGCCGACGGTGATGACGGTGGCGGCTTCCCGTCGCTGGCTGCGCACCCTGTTGAGATCGGACTTAGAGTTTGTTGTTGGTGCAGAGTGGCTCACGGCGAACCTCATACGATGAGCCGCCAGCCCCCACCACTTTATATAGCGCAGTGCGACGGGGGCCCACCAACCATGTAGGGTTGGGCGCCCTCAATCAGGGCGCGTGACCAAGGCCCAATAAGCCGTTGGGCTTATTGGCTAGGAGATCATTCCAACACTATTCCCTGATAGCAGCTGCTTGCTGCTGATAATAAAGGTTGTTTCTTGTCAAAAAAAAAAGTCTGCATCGTTGGTTAATTGGTTTGGTTAGCGTTGACTGCGCCGCTGGGCGGGGAAAGCGTCAAAGTGTCACTGGTAGAGTAGACCATTGGATGCTGTCCTGAAAAGTACAGTAGATAGGCGAATATCATTAGATTAGCGTCTTTGACCCATCAAAAAATATACCGAGGCTCATGACAAATCAAGTCTCCAAATGTTCGGGTTGGTGAATGAAACGGAACTGATCAACAAAGAAATATATACTGGTATACACTAACAAATCGAGTCTCCAAATGTTCAACATTTTCACCAAATTGGCATGAAAAAGGTTCAGCAAACTATAAAAAAATATAGCAAGGGGTCTTGACATACTAATCTAGATGTACAGAATGTCTATTTATCCTGAGTAAATGCCACATCAAATTAATAAATTAATTAATTTGAAATTTTTCAAAGTACTTCAAAAATAAATCATTGGAGTGGTAACTGGAAACCTGAAAATTCACACTTGTGGTCTGGTCTTATGTCCTATTTGGATCTTTCTAGTTGTTGCTAGTTTTTAAGAATTTGGCTTTTGGAAACTGAGTGGGATCCAAACAGGCCCGTTTTTGCCGTTAGATTCTTAAAAACCAGGAAGCTATGGATACTCAGCTTTTG